AATTAATTGCAGCATGAAAAAGGCAGAAAGAAGCTCACCGGCGCGTCAAGTATCTGAGAGTCTAGCTTCTTGCTGTTGGGATGGACTTCAGTAGTAATAGTCTTATTTGGTTTGTACAAGGAATGAGGAGGAACACAGGGAACTGCTGGAGGTGGAAATTTCTGCAAAATGCACGCAATACTTGCAAATTTAATATATAGAACATATGAATATAACACACAGAGATGAATCATAGTACTATGTTCAATATCATGAGGTAGTCCAGTAAGTCACTTTGAATCAATAATCCGTAGCATCGTCTTGTATTTTTATATATCATCAAAGTAAATATATAGATAGCTTCACCATTGTATTTTCAATTGAAGTGTACATATGACGCGCGTATGCATGCTGCATGTATAATGGATAAGAAATGGCAGCTTATTTTGCTAATTAATTAAATAAGCTGTCTAACAATTCACACTATTAGTCACGTCACACTTATAATTGATATGATTCACTACTCCTATCTTTTACTAGGTATTTCCCTTTGCTTATTGAGATTAGCCAGTCATGTTGCATAATGATCTATCAAAAAACAAATTAGTGAATAGATGATCACTGTTTATATATTTTAATCTCTTGGCGTTTCATTTTACATAGTGCATTAACGTATTGTTAGCTCACACTACTGCCATATAGAATTAATTATCGGCTACAAGCAGCCATTTTACTTTGCTTGCTTGATATGCCAAGTGATAAATTAATAAGGACGATTAAGCTCACATATCAAATGTGAATAGCATGCAGGATGAAAAAAGTAAATATTATTTTATTTAATGCGCTAATAGGGCGTCAAACAAACTTTATAGTTGATTAATTAGGTTAGGGATTTGTGCATTAACTATTCAAGTGTAGACATCTTTTTTGCACGTCATTAATTAATTATCCACACACCTAGATATGTACTTTCTAAATAGCAAAAAGAGTCCCGATCACTACTAATTTATATCTTGACAATTTTTTTTGGCAAAATAAGTTGTCATGCATTGTATGTATGTACACAAACTTATACTAACAGGACAGTGCCTGGTGCATTAATTTACCATTGGGGGTGGAACTGGCCTAGGGAAGCAAGGTGCACTTTGTGTCACAGCATTTGGCCCCTGGAAATTTTTTAAACAAGATTCAGTACACACACTAGCGGGGGCAGCGGGGGGGCGGGGGCGGGGGCGGCGGGGCGAGGTTCATACGAAATGGAAAATGAGGGAGCCATGGTGGTGGAGTAGTGTGTGGCACCGGAGGAATCCAAAGGGCGGGAGGTGACGGCTGACGGGGCAGGGCCAGAGGTGAAGTTTGTAGGCCACATATGATCCTTGTAGGATGTCCCACACGTGCAATGGCCTGCAGAAAGCATGAGGAGGAGGAGGTGCTGGTGGAGGAGGGAAGCCCCATGGACGGTGGGGTAGCGTATGACACCTGCCGCCGGGTGCTCATAAGCTCACCGCCTCCGCCTCTCTCGCCAACAGGTGTTTCCGATGAGACCGATATTTCTGTGAAGAATACAGCAATTAATGTTAATTTCTCCATATAATGTTAATTTCTCCATATATCAACAATTTGGAGCTACTCGACCATCCAATTCTACTCCATAAATACTCTCAAGGTAATTATGGTGAAAATAATTTAAATATATAACACGACAAATATAAGGAGAAAATGTGCCCAAGAAATCATCCTATATATATCAGTTCTTTTTTTATTAATGGGAGAAAGAGTTTCAAAAACTTTATTAATTAAGAAGAAGCGTTCTCTCTGTGTTAAACAAGAGGATTGATTATAAGAGGTCACAATATTTGGTTCTAGAATGAAATTTTTTATTTAAAAAAAAGCCCCATAAGTTGAAATTGAGTAGTTTTCAGTATGACATTTGTAGATTTAAGTCCATATTAATTTTCACATTCTTTAACTCGATTTAAAAAAAAAAGGAGACAGTAATCTGATTAAATTGAGCATAATTAATGAATGTATAATATATATACTTGAAGATGGCTAGCAACGTTGTGGCGAGTGAGACAATCAACTCCCATTATTTCTAGAATTCTTGAGGGGACGGCCTTATCTATTCCCAAATACTCCACCGCTTGAACAAATCTCCGGTGCAACTCCGGCGTCCAATCCACCTACACGCAAAATATATAATTAAATTCAGTAGAGCTAAAATCATCAACAAACAATAAATAAATATATATATATATATATATATATATAGACATATTATATATATGTACGTTTGATGTAACATGGAATTAATTTATAAGCCAATGGTGCTACTTCAGTACCTTTCTCTTTCCTTGAGAACCTTTTGATGAGCTAGCCTTCACCAGTGAAGACTTGCTCCTTTCTTTACTAGCTTGATCCGGTGATGCCGCATTCCCAACCTTGCCATCTTCCTTTGACGTGCTCGGGCTGGCCCTTTCGTTATCTTCGGGCTCATGACTCAAACTCTTCATCTCCTCCGTCGACCTCTCCTCAAATTCAGGAGATATAATCTGTTGCTCGCCATGCTCATCATCGTCAAAGGAGAAGTCATCGAGGTCGACCTCAAGGTCAGGCAATACATCCTTGTTGAAGTCCAGGAAGAGATCGTCGAAGTTAAAGTCCTCCAGCATCGGAACTCTGAACAACTCATTGGTGAGCTCATCATCAACATGAGGTGAGATGGCAAGCATACTCAGATTATATATTGCTTCTCTATAGCTATAGGCAGTTAGTGAAGCGGGTTAGCTTGATGTTGCATGGGAAATTAATGGGAAGGAAAATACTAAGCTTGAAATCTGGTGAGTTTGAAGAGAATTTAATTGAATGGAGCTGTAGAGAATTATTAGGGGAAGAAGCCTTGAAAGTAGTTAGTTAAGGGAAGAGGATGAGCTAGAGAGCATCAAAACATTGGAGTTTTGGAGTGTAGGAATGATGGGGCAGTAGGTGGATCTCCGCCACATCTTGGCTCTAATTAGATCATTTCCTTGTTCTCCCCTTTTTTCTTTTTTTGGATTCGGATTTATAAAGATTTACTTTTTTTTAACCCTATTTTGCTGCAGAGTTAAAATTTATCTTGGATGAAAAAGTAAAAATAAATAAATAAATAAATGTTACCCTTGAGAGAAGAAAAATCTAAGGAGAGCCCTGACTCTCTATATATAGAAAGTATAGTCTAATTATGAAGTAAACCATAAAATGTGTCTTATCACACATTAAAATTGATGATTATACTAATTTATGATAATGATATATCAACCGTCTTTACAATAAATATATGATATCATATCAACTCATCTGTAACTATCGGTGTAAAAAATTAAAATTTAGGTACACAACATCACATGCAAAACAATCATCAGCTTTAAAATGTGTAACAGGACACGAATTTAGATCCTCTCCGTCATAAAAAAAAATAGTGGAGGGACTACTACGTACTTTTTATAATGGTAGTTAAATATCTAATAGGTAGTTGCGATTCATCTTACAACCACCCAAATTAATCATGTTCTCTTGAGCCTATGAATACCTCATTTCGGCAACAAATTCCTCCTCTCTAAAACTTCTTTCTACCGGCAAAATGCTGATCATTCTACTATTCCTGCATTCACCATACTCGCGAGTGCACACTTGTGGTGTATAGAGCTGTTGAATCCCATCAAATTCAATTCCTACTGCATTGAGACACCGTTTTAGAGGGCACGAAACCACTCTTAATTAAGGACCGCGAACTGACACGCCTCAGCCCGCTTCTTTCTGCAGCTCCAAGTCGCATATTTTTTCAACAAAATTTACATTTCTGAAGCAGAAAGTGACTACGAAGGGATTTAGAGCCTGTTTCTGTTTGGATACTCTCTCTCTCTCTCTCAAATAATTCTGAGATTTGTGGACATCAATTTCAATAGAGAAGAGTGTTTGAAATGCAGAAGAGCGTGCGGAGCCTGTGAGGCTTAATTTCATGAGAGAATGGGGGCAGGGCCAGTAGTTTGTTTAGAAACAACATAGCAGCTATAGAGACCATTCGTTTGTACTGTAATTTTTTCTTGAGAGAGAAAAGGAAAGAAACCAGTGGAATATGTGAATGTTTGTCTGTTCTCATAATTGCAGAAACGTCTCTATCTGTGTCTATTCTTTATGTAGGGGTGCCATTCCGTCCGGATATGATATAATGCTTATCAAATTCATACGTGCTCAGTAATCACGTATACACGTATATAGTTACAGATAAATCTTGATAAGAAAAATTCATATCCTTATCAATTAAAATCAAATACGGACACAAATATAAATGCGGATATGTAAGTGGACATGCATGCGGATAAAAAAGGAATATAAGAAAACTATTGTGAATCATTTCTCCTTCAATATCTTCCTCCTCATCTTATATATATACATTCTTTCTCTAAACTATTGTGAATCATCTTTGACCGACCATGAGACGAGCTCGAGAAAATTCAGAAGGTTAGACTTGAGGGGTTTCGTACTCTTTAATTTTTACCTTCAATTTCACATGAAAATTGATTCATGCTTTACTGCAAAGGACCATCTCTTCCAAATAAGGCAACAAGATAATGTAAATATACTTAATTATTAGAAGGTGGAACCTTGGTGAACCCATGTTTTATGTTTAAATTCTTAACATTATAATTTTGATTAGGCCTGGGTAATGTAAGTTTATCATTGAATGGAATAACTCCAAAATTATGCTTTGAGTTTTATTCTCCTTTTGTGCTCAAATTACTGCCAACATATTAATTATTGTTACCCTGTTGACCAATTTTATTTCTCATGTTTTTAGCTCACAATTGGGTTGTTTATTCAAAAAGATGATACTCATTGCTTGGGTTTCAAATATTACTTGAGTTGGTTTGCCTTGCAAATAGCTACATTTAAATATTTAATTTTCCAAGTTTTTATTTTAGTTTTGAATGAGTATGTTATGTAAGATACTTATGTTTTTCCTTTTATGGACACACACATAAACACACACACAGAGAAACTAACCTATATAATAAATTTTTTTGTTTATATTAAGATCTCTAAGTAGATATCTGACATAGTAAGTTGGTCATCAATACCCTATATAAATTAAAGCATTAGTAATTCACATTCCAATTGCATAATAGGGATAAAATTCAGATTCTATTAATGTTGCTATTAGTTATGTAATGCAAAATAGGGCTAAAATTCAGATTTGTTAAAAAACCTTAATAAGATGAACAATTAGCAAATTTTTTGGTGGTCTTCATGGTGCACATTAGCAGGCGAATCAACCTTTAGAGCAGCGATAAATAGTTACTTAGCATTGGATTGAGAGCGATAAATTCTTGTTCGCAATCCAAAGAGATCAGTTCTGTTGCAAAATTTGTTGGAAATGGTGAAGTTCTTGAATCTGAAGCCATTAGATCAACTGGTCCTAAGGGGGAAAGAATGAAGAAATCTATGGACGAGATCCTCAGATCTACAAATCTAACTATCAATCCAAAGGATCAGGTAACTCCTCAACTGATTGGATGCAAATCTCATCATCTCTATAAGTCCTCTCCCTCTCGTGATGATCTGAGTAGTTCCAATAGATCTTCTTGGGCTGATGATGAAGTATTTAAGATTGATTCAATAGATCAGCATCTTTTTTCAAATTCTAATAAGTTCGATCTTGTTCAATTGATTCTTGCATTGGATTCTACTATTTTATTGAATCCTTCTGGAAATTTAGCTGAAAAGGCTGTTTCTGATAAAATCCAAAGTAATTCAAGCAATGGAAAGAACTTCTGTGTTGATTCTGATTTCCCTCCTCTTTGAAATGTTATACCTGCTAATGATACAGTGAATCTTGAGAAAAAAGTTACATCAGTTTTTTTGCCGATAATAGAAATGCTGGAAATGGCATCGTCTTGGATTTCATTCCTCCTGAGTCTAAGAATTCAGTGATCTTTGAGGAGGAAGAATGGCAAGAAGGTGAATCCATGTGGAAATTTTCACTTATTGGACAGGTTATGGAGACTCAATGCTAAATTTAAAACCATGGAGACCTTTGTTAAGAAAGCATGGGCTCCATTGGCAAATCCTAAGGTTTTTCTTCTTAAATCAAGATTATATCTGTTCAAATTCAACAATAAGAAAGAAATCAGTGAAGTAATTGAAAATGGCCCTTAGTTTTTTGGGTCAAGGCCTCTCCTATTAAAACATTGGTCTAATGAAGAAGAGATAGAGAAGAGTTTTGATAATATTTATCCCATGTGGATACAACTGCCAAGATTAAGACTCAATTTGTGGAATGCTAAGTGTATAAGCAAAATAGCTAGTGTCATTGGTAGACCAGTAACTACAGATAAGCTCACTTTCAATAGACAAAGACTAGCCTATGCAAGAGTCCTAATTGAGGTAAATATGCCTTCACAACACCCTGAGCATATAACTATTCAAGGACCAAATGGAAAATTGATTAATCAAATGGTTCATTATGAGTTCAAGCCTAGATGGTGTGATCATTGCAAACAAGTTGGGCATGATACAAGTTTCTGCAAATGACATCCTAGAACTCAAAAGAAGTGGATTCTTCATAAATAAGCAACTGTGACCAATACAGCTCAGGCTCCTGCTCCTCCTGGAGTCTTTAATTCAGCCCAGGCTCTTATTTCTGGAAATGATACAGAAAATGTTATCCAAGTGCAGCTTCCTTAGGTACCTGTACAAAAGCCTACTCATGATCAAACTGGATCTAATGCTCATGCTCAGCAAGTTCACTCATCTAAAAGAAAGTAGAACTGGGAATTGGGAGCTTTGGCAATTCTGTGCATGTTGTGCATGTTGAGGTTAACGGCAAAAAAAGTCTCCCCCCTAATGCTCATGCTCGGCAAGTTCATGTTAAACCCTAGAGGGAGGGTGATTAGGATCTTATGCTAATCTAATCCGATTTTATGCCAATTAAAACTTATTAATAAATTATTCTTGCAAAAGAGATATACAATATGTTATGAGCAAGAATATGCAATATGAGCAAAGAGATATATCCTAGCAAAGAGGTATATGATGAAATATATGCAAGGATATATAAATTAACACAAGGGTAAACAAACTAAACAAAAGATACAATGTGATAGGGCAATATAAACAATGCAAACACACAATATGATCACAAAGTTTGGACCTTCCGTCCTACGTCTCTGCTCACCACTCCCGGGGAGAAATCCACTATCACAACAGGGTTTTGTACGCTAACCCGAATAACGTTTATACCACACAATATCATAATGTAACTACACTCTACACCATCTAAGTGTTGGTCTCTCAGTGTCCTTCCTCAAGTGCTCGGATACAACCTCTCCCTAGGTTCGTCAACTGACGCAACTCCTCTTGGAAGCAACCCTGACTCTCACCACACACTCCTCTCGGTGTACAAGTGTAATACAAAGTGAATCTCATAATTAGACATAATACAAAGTGTTTGTTCTCTATAATGGATGAGAACGAATTATAAGCTCACTCTCTAGGTTACACAATGTTTGTTCTCTATAATGGATGAGAACGAATTATAAGCTCACTCTCTAGGTTACACAATCCCACAACCCGATTATACTATGAATGTAAATACAATAAGCTCAATGGTTGTGTGTGTGTAAGCAAAGAGAAATAAATCAAAACTAAACTCAATATAGTTCTAGCTTAATAACAATGATAATCAAATATATAAAAAGAGCTAAAAATAGAGCTTAGAAAACTTTTTAATAGATCAAGGGATCGAGGGAGAGTAGTTGGATACCCAAACACCAATAGACGATCTCCTCAAGCTCTTGTGAAATTGATTTCATAAACTCAAACTCTCAAATACTTAAAAGCTTCTTAAACAAACTTAAATAATACTTAAACCCTTATTAAAATTTTGTTAAAACATTTCTTAGATCCTTGTAAAAGATGAGAGCAAGGGGGGTATATATAGCCTCCCAAAACCTCAGCCAAAAACCCAACAGAAAAGACCAAAAAACCCACAGAATCAGAAATCAAATTCTATACAAAAATGACCGTTGGGCGATCGGCGGTCGGCCGTGGGAAATTCACGGTCGACCGCGAGCAACACAAAGCCAAAATCTGGGCAAACTATCTGGACTTTATCCGGTCGATCGTCACGGTCAACCACGAGCCATCAAAAACCAATCTGAGTCTCTGGACTCAAGGGCGTTCGACCGTGGTGGTTGACCGCAAACTGATATATAATAAAAACAGGTTTTGTAAACAGT